AAATAAAATAATGACAATGAATAAAATTAAATAATTCTTTTAAAAAAAATTAGACCTAGGGACCAGCAGTTGGCATAATAGCTATGTCGCTGGACTCCCATGTAGTCAACCACAGTTCGAGTCCAGGACCCGGTGGCTTAAACTCACGCTGGGCGCGTGTGCGTGCGTGCCCAAGACCCTGAGAGGACAATGAAAGAGAAGGGATTGCAACATGGCCATCCCTCCTGGGGGGGTGATTTCTCATTTTCTGTCTCTCTGTGTTTTTCTGTCTTTCTGGCAAGTGCACGTGCCCTATAGCAAAAACTTCTCCAAATAAATAAATAAATAAATAAAAGACCTAGATTATGTAAAAAAACTTTTAGGAATCAATAATAAGAGATTAAAAACTCCACATAAAGTGGACAATAGGCATAAATTGTCATTTCTCAAAATAGGAATCATGTCAAGTCAATAAACATGGAAATATATAAGGAAATGAAAAATAAGATTATAAGAAAAAGTTATTTTATATCTACTACATGGCATAAATGTAAGAAATCTGTCAGTAAAAATCTTTATAGTATATGTAAATGAGTAGAGATGTTTATATACCATTTTGAAAAATAACTTAGCACTGTAATAAAATAGAATATTTGAGTATTTTAGACCCAGAAAGTCCACTTCTTAAGAAAAACTTATGCAAACGTACCATGAAAATGTCCAAGAATGTTCAAAGGATCATTGTTTATAGTAGCAAAACACTAGAAATAATCTTAATGTTTTAGGCACAGTTCTAAAATGGCTGTCAAGAGTCCCATCCCGGGTGTATATTCCCCACGTACCCCTCCCCTTCCATGTGAATGTCAGTATGAATATAATGGATATTCGGTCTGTAATGAAGTTATATCACTTAACAAAACTGACAGAATTCTACAGAGGTAAGTATGGTCCCCAATCAGTTGATCTGAGGTTGACCAAAAGGAAGACTATCTGGAGTGGACATGACTTAATCAGGCACATCTTTAAAAGGGACCAACTGGGCCATTTTTAAACAGAGCAAGTGTGAGCAGAAATTTGCTTTCTGGCCTTGAAGAAGCAAACTGCTATGCTGTGATAGGTAAGGGCCTGAGGGTGACCTCTAGGAACAGAGAACTAGCAACAAAATAAAATAGGGCCCTAAGTCCTACAGTCACAAAGAATTGAACCCTTTTTTTTTTTGAGAGGTTTTGCTATAGGTCATGTGTGCTTGCTGGAGAGACAGAGAGAGACAGAAAGCAAGAAATTACCCCCTAAAGGGAATAGCCATGTCACAATCTCCATTCTCCTCTTAAGATTTTGGGCATGCACACACACATGCCCAGAGTGAGTTTTTTTTTTTTTTTTTTGGAGAGATTTTCACTGTAGGGCACGTGCGCTCGCCAGACAGACAGAGAGAGACATAGAGACAGAAAGCGAGAAATCACCCCCTGGGGGGATGGCCACGCTGCAATCCCTTCTCCTCCATTCTCCTCTCGGGATCTTGGGCACGCACGCACACGCGCCCGGCGTGAGTTTTAAGCCACCAGGTCTGGGACACGAACCGCAGTCGACTACGTGGGAGTCCAACAACATAGCCATTACACTAACTGCTGGTTCCCCCCAGAGTGAGTTTTAAGCCACTGAGTCTGGGACTCAAATCATGGTCGACTACGTGGGAGTGTCCCAAGGAACTGAATTCTACCAAGAGCCTGAATGCACTTGAAAGAGGACCCCTCCAAACAAGAATTCCGCTGGCCAGAACCTTCATTTCAGGCTTATGAAATACTGGCACAGAATCTGATCACACTCTGCTCAGACTTCCAATCTACTATAAAAAAGTAAATGGCTGTAGCTCTGAACAACTACGTTTGTGATTATTTGTTATGCAGCAATAGAAAGCTACTATACCAAATGACAATTAATAAATAAAAGCTCAATTGCAGCATAGCCACAAAATCGAATGGCATGAAACAGCTTAGATTGTTTTAGAAACATAATAATGATGTAAGCAAAAATCAAATAATATATTATTTAAGCACCCTAGGTGTGTGATTTTATAAAAAGTCATTTTCAAAAGGCAAGAAATAAACAAAATTTATAAAAGCAGTTAACTTCTGGAAAATAGGCGGGGAGAGGGGACCTGGAATTGCTAGTGCTACTAACCTCATTAGCTGCTAAATGCACATGTACGCATTCTCTGTAGGAATGTATAATTAAGAGCCTTAATTTAGTTTTATAAATTCTCAAAAAAATGTCTGGAACTCAGTCCAATGAAACAGGCAAATGAAACTAGGCACAATTTTTGACCAAAATTTAAGTGAATAAAAACAACCACGGGGACCAGCGTAATGGCTATGTCCCATGTAGTCGACCGCAGTTCGAGTCCTGGAACGGGGGGCTTAAACTCATGCCGGGCGCATGTGTGTGCATGCCCAGGATCCCGAGAAGAGAATGGAGGACAAGGGACTGTGGCGTGGCCATTCCCCCTGGGGGGTGATTTCTCGCTTTCTGTCTCTCCGTCTCTCTCTCTGTCTTTCAGGCGAGCGCACACGCCCTATAGCAAAAGCCTCTCAAAAACAAACAAACAAACAAATAAACAAAAAAAACAACCATGGAAACAGATTTACAGGTAATCCAGATAATGGAGCTATCAAACATGGACCTTAAAATATTAATAGCAATGATTGCTTTGGACTGAATGTTTGTGTCCCTAAAAATTCATATGTTGAAGCCATAATCCCCAATGTGATGATAATTGGAGGTGGAAACTTGGAGCAGTAATTAGGTCATGAGGGTAGAACCCTTAAGAATGAGATCAGGCCGAAAAAAATAAATAAAAATTTAAAAATAAAATAAGAATGGGATCAGGGCCCTTAAAAGAAGAGACATGAGAGATGATCTCTCCTTGCCATGTGAGGATACAGCAAGAAAGTGGCCATATGAAAGACAGGAAGAGAGCCTTCAG